TGGTCAATTTTCTTTCCATTTATAAATGGCATCTTGCAAAACAATAAGAAAAATATATATGAATGATAATAGATAAAATATTAACGAACAAAAAAATATGTTGTAATGCCAGTGTTAAAATTAATTAAATAACCCCAATGTGTCCTGATTTTGGGCCACCCTGTGCTTACACTACTCGTGAAAATGAAAATGCACGCTTTGAGGCTTTTATAAGCATGGATTTTGAGGATTGAAGCAGGCCCGTGCTTGTAGGCACCATTTCATTAGTTTCTGTGTGGGTCTCAGAAAGGTTCTTTCGGTCTCTGCTTTACATTTTTTATTTGATGAGCAAATCTTGCACGGACCAATGGGTCGATACGTTGTTTTTTGTCCAGCCCATAATAACTTCCCACCGGCTCTATGTGTCAGCTGCTGTCTGAGTTGTCACCACAAAGGGACACCGCATAAGCATGCACATCACCACGTCACGTGTGTGTGAGACACACATGAGGGCGACCACACGTACGTGTCACTTATGGCTCACACACCCTCCAAAACTCTCCCTGCCAGACTATGCCACTTTCCAGTCAATGATACCGTACTGGAGGGAAAACCGCCTCCTTCCAGTTGCTTCAAGCACAGGCGAACGTGAGTGTACGGGAGACCTCCAGAGTATTTATTACAGCAGTGGCATGAAGAAAACAGCTTTTTTTGCGGTTATTATAAATGTACATCGATATCAAGTCGGCTGCCGCTGCCACCGTGTGTTGTCTAGCACACTGGACTTGAAATCCGCAGGACGTCGGTCCGATTCGATCTCCTGGCATGGCAGTTGAAACAGTGTTTCAACGGTTCTTAAATCTCTACCCCCCCCTCACATCCTCACCTCCGATTAGCACGGTTGGTTACGCACGGTGCGAAAGAAGTTCAACACGCAGTAATGTGTCAACGAAAGTACAAAATGGGGGTCGCACGCAAAGACGTCTGGCGGTGCGCGCAAGAGTAGGCCAAATCATCCTCTGGGTGGGCCCCTCTAGAATTCCCGATAGTTGTGGAGGCTCTTCTTCTAGCAGTGACGTGAGCAAGCAATTGCAGGGCTGCACTTTGACACTGTTTTTTTACCTCCAGGGTTGATGGTCCAGATGTCTTGTGCCCCCCCCCCCCTCCGCAGTTGAATTCTTTTAAACTAAATATATTTTAAAGTAAGCTTTATTTTCAACAGAAATGTCGAATATGCAAAGAAAAAAAAAGCATGTTTGGGGTCTATTAATTGGGGGGGGGGGGGGGGGGTGGAGTGGGGTTGGGGTCACAAGACATCTGGACCGACCTCTACATCAAGCGCGGGTGATTGAGTGTAGGTAAAACAGAGAGATTTGCGCAGTCAGGGGGGCACTGCTGGGGCAGTCGTCAAAAGTGGACTCGCGCCTCGCTGCTGATTAATTGTGCGAGGAGATAAGGCTGGGTGGGAGTGGGCAGAGAGAGAGAAAGAGAGAGTGAGAACGCGACGTTGTTCTTGAAAGGCACCGAGCAAACGGCTCTCGGCAGAGAAACAGTACTGCTCTGTTCTTGACTATACACAATTGCAATCATAAACCAGTTCAACTGTTGCCAAACTATATGAAAGCAACTGCTTGTGCGCGTGTGTGTTTGTTTTAATTATTGCATTCTCCAGATTGTCAGACGCGCTTTTCCGCACCCCCCTCCCGCCCTATCCAAAAACTAATTTGGAAATAAAAAGTTGCGGGTGCGTGCATCGTACATTAAAGAGCGTCTTATCATTCGGAGAATCACGGTATTGAATAAGAGATGGGGGTGGTGGGGGATATTTCGTTTTCGAAACGAGAAAACGACTTTTTAAAAAATGTTGCAGTTTCCATCTATGCACACGAGGTGGCGTGTTCTATCACAGCAGCTAATTGTGTGCGAGCTTGCGATGAACTGATTATCATTATTACGCGGCGGCGGTGACGCTGTTGCTGATGCTGCCGTTGGTAGCGGTGCACCAACAAGCACGGAAAATAGCAACGCAGTAAACTCAACACATTCGTCAATAACAGTGTGGCCTTGAAATAAAAAAATAGGTGACCTTTTAAACAATTCGCCCTCTTTACGGCCTCCACTCTGTGCGCCCCGAGGAAGGTTGCCATTGCAATAAACTGGATCGACTGAGTTTGAAACACTACACCGTGTAATACAACCTGAGCGAGCCTTCTTATTGTGACTCGAGTTCCCCAAGAAAGCCAAACACAATCTTGGCCTTTGCGTGCGGACATTTTAAGTGATTGTTGGTGTGTAATTGGATAATTGGATGAATTAATGGATATAGTTTTTACCAAGATTACATGTAAAAAAATCTACCTTAGAAAAAAGGATGTCGTTTTCAATGAAATGTCAGTGTTTTTTTAATGTGTTTTGTCATAGCACTTTTGTTATGGCATACTTTGTTTTATTTCTTGCTCAATAGCTGCATTTCGCAGTTGATAGCTCATGGCTGATTATGGATAAGTTATATACTGTATGCCAGAGGTGGGACAAAGTCATTGTTATGCAAGTCCAAGTCGAGTCTGAAGTCATCAAATTCATGACTCGAGTCTGACTCCAGTCCAAGTCACATGACTCGAGTCCACACCTCAGAGGTGGGACAAAGTCATTGTTATGCAAGTCCAAGTCGAGTCTGAAGTCATCAAATTCATGACTCGAGTCTGACTCGAGTCCAAGTCACATGACTCGAGGCCACACCTCAGAGGTGGGACAAAGTCATTGTTATGCAAGTCCAAGTCGAGTCTGAAGTCATCAAATTCATGACTCGAGTCTGACTCGAGTCCAAGTCACATGACTCGAGTCCACACCTCTGCTGTATGCTCATATGCAATGGCTTCCTAGGGTTCATAAAATGCAGCATCGCGTTGTGAGAAGTCAACAGTACGTGTAAGTTTTTCCATGTGCGAACTGGGTCCTGTCATATGAACGTGGAATTCCCACCACTGTCTCAGGGCGGCCACCACCCACTGGTCATTTGACCAGAAGAAACACACTGTGACCTGTTTGAGTCGGGTGTCAGCGGGGTGTGATGGTGTGTGTGCCTGTCTATATACAGTGCTGTATATCCATCCAATTTTCTCTTGCAATAGCATTGTGACCAGGAGATAACCTTTGCCCTGTTGGTTGTGGGGGTGTGTGTTTCTTTATTTATTACTACTTTTTCTTTTGCATTTGGTCGTTTGACCAGGAGAGAAACTTTGACTTTTTGACCATAGCCTTGCATGAGTGGCACGTGTAGCATGGTGTTAATGGTGCTACACAACTGGCATCACGAGTTGGCTTTTTTTGGTTTGCTCTAAACAGCTCAATCCATAATCACGATGATGAGCATCTTCTATAAGCTGAACCCCCGTGGCCTCTCTGCTGGCACACAATAGCCGAAACATCGCCATTGTGGCGTCGCCACGGTGCATTGTGCCAAGCTAGACGCCACGTGGAGTGTCGAAGGCTCACAGGAAGGGGGTCGCGTGACAGACCCAGGTGCCATGACTTGACTGAGATGACTGGCAGATGTGCCACCTTTTCTGTGTTTTAGCCGCCCGGCGCTCCGCTCGTTGTTGTGAGCGTCGCTCCTCTGCTGTTGCTGGAGGGCGACTGCCTCCAACTGCCCAGTAGCGTCCGTCGCGAGCCTCCTCCACCGAGGCCGATGTTCACACCGCTGGTACCGCTCATCAGCAAGTCCAATGAACTCCGACAGTTGTTTGTACCACATCTATTCTGTCACCCGTGCCACGCCCGTCTTGCGCAGGTTAAATATAAGCTGGTTGGATATGCGGTGCAGTCACACTCCAGAACAACATACTTATCAGAAAACACGCAAAAAAAAACCCTAAACACATTTCTTTAAAAAGGAAAAAAAACTACTCTAAGTCATAAGTGAAGTTTCTGCCAATGGACCATTTTTTTCTACGTGCTTCACTACGAGGTGAAGGCCTCCCGATGCCGTGTCCGTCATTGGTCGTAGTTTTGACCATACTTCACCATGCCACGCCGGTAAAGGGTCGGTGAAGGAAGAGAGGCCGATTACCCTGTTAGACATCACGCACCACCGATGTGAGCTTGCTTCGTAGCGCAGTCCACTCACCAACGCGTCACGGATGCATCCCCGAACACTTATTTATGTTACGTCATTACGAGCGATCCAATGAATACGTTGCACTAGCCAAATATTTTAAGGGCACTCACGTTGTTTGATACCTCGTGCAAATACAATGTACAAAAGTGACGTGGTATTCCATTGTAACGACTGGCCGTGTCTGAACGCATATAGTTTGCGTGCTGTCTCGCTGTGTGTGGGGAGCGGTGGGGCAAAGCGTTAGCGCGCTGTGCCACGAAGCCGGCCACTCAAGTTCGATTCCCGCTCGCGGCCGACACCAGCAGCGATGATCTGAACCGGTCCTGGGCCTCCCCGAGGTTGACTCAGCCGCAAACGGAGTACCTGGTGCGGTGTGCAAACATCGCGACTAGGGAGACAAAGGCGGCCGGGCGTGGTGCTGGCCCACCCACCCCCTCGTGTGCCGTGCCGGCCTTCATAAGTGCTCGTAAACAGCACTTGCCCCCGCAGTATATTAATGCTATACGGGGATCTTTGTCTTTGTTTGTGTCTCTATAAATCTCGTTTTTTTTTCTCTCACTCTCTTGTAGTTTGTCCTCTGTGTATGTGGTCAACACAAAAAATATCTCTCTCTGAAGACAATCTCACGTCTTCACCCCATCTCCCACTCCCACAACCACCCACCGCCAACAGACTCCACAACACGCAACCTCTCGCCGCTTCCAGCTCCACGTAATCGATGTTCAAGTCGCAGATCCTTGCCGGGTCTTGCGGTGAACCCCAATGGGGAGTGGAAAAGGAGAGCGAAGAGGACGATGAGAGGGAGGGAGGGAGGATGAGATGGGAGGGACAGAGAGAGGGAGAGAGTGAGCGGGGGGGTGGAGAGGGAGGGAGCGAGAGAGAGAGAAGGGGGGAGGAGGAGGAGAGGGCACGAGTTGGGTGGAGAGCGAGTGGGGGTGTAGAACGCACGGCCAGTGGAGAGGGATCCCAGACAGAGCGCAGCTCAGCGCGCAGCACGCATCGCGGGGGCACACTGCTCGCCTCGCCTGGCCGCCCAAGTTTTGCGGAGGAGCAAGTTTCACGCGGGTCGAGGAACGGCGACTTGGCTTCTTCACTCGAGGAATGATAATAATACTACTACACCGGTGCGACGGATTGAACTAAGGGGGGGTTTTGTCTTCGCCCCCTTACCTCTCCACAACCCCATCGCCTCTCCCTCCCCCCCCCTTGTTGTTGTCTTTTAAATGTGGATCTGCTTCACTGGACGCTGTGGAAGAAGGCCGGTTGGTGCGGAGGGCACGGAGTGAACCAACGGGAAGACTTGGGATTTGCTTTCGCTGTTGGAGGGAGTGTTGACAGCTTGGAGTCGTTGTCCTCCTCCTGCTGCTGCTGCAGCGACAGATGCGAGGGCACATTGACTAGGGAGATCACGACACAAGAGTTCGAGTGGACCAGGGGGTCCCCCGGACCTGCGGGGCCCCAGGGGAAATGGGGGTAGGAGGCACCATGGCCCCAAGGAGTGACAGCCCAGCTGGAACGCCGCCGCCGCCGCGCACAGCTCTGCTGGCCCTCCTGCTGCTGCTGCTGCTCAAAGTGGCCTTTGTGCACGGTGAGTTGCGATGGCTAAGGAGCACTCGCACCGAGGCACGTGTCATGCGCTCTCACACACGCACACAGTGCAGGTAGCTACACGCGCCGCATGCACTTACGAAGACAAATATCATCCCCCTGTAGCTTTCAACAGACTGTTGGGGCGAGTGCTGTTTGCGAGCGCCTATGAAGGTCCACACGGCACAGGAAGGGGTGGGAGACACATCGCACTGGGCATTCGTTTGAGGCTGATTCGACCTAGGGGAGGTCCCGGGCCGGGGTTCAGACAATCGTCGCTTGTGTTGTTGGCCGTGAGCGAGAATCGAACTCGGGTCGCCGGGATCGTAGCGCAGCGCGCTAACAGCTACACTACCGCTCCCCGCACTGACCCATCACTATCCCACCCTGTGACATGCACTGACATGGGACCTGCCGTGGAGTGATGGTTAGCAGCACCACGGGAACGTGCAATCCAGAAGCCGTCGGTTCGATTCTATCTCACGGCGCGGCAGTGGTGTAAGTTTATTGGATATCCCCTCCGCGGACTCTGTTCGCGCAGCAGAAATACACGGGGGGTCCACCACGGTCGATCGGGATGTCGCTTGAGGTGGGGTGAAGTGTGGGTACGCCCACCTCTTCTAACGCGTCGACTCAACGGTGGAAGAGTAGGCCAATTGGCCCCCTGGAGTTCGCTGTGGTGGAGGCCCTTCCACCATCAGGGACGCACCTTTACATTGTACTGACACAGTACCACACACACACACTCGAGCGCAGAGCTGGTGCTGATATCATTTTCATCTCGTCATCGCGTGCACTCCCTTCCTTGTCACTCTTAACCACATTTTTGACTTAGCCGATAAGGGCATGGGAGGCCGTGGCTGCTGCTCGATCAGCTGCCTTGATTTCAGATTTCACTTCACTCGATGTGCATACTGCGCGTGATTAAACATCCTCCGTCATACTTCGCTCAGCAAGTGGTCGTAAGCTGAAGTGCACACGCGCGCACGCACACACACACACCGCACATAGGCATTCCTTTTAGCCTGCGAGGCTGCTGGGTGAAACAACACACTTACAATATGTACACACACACTCGCGCGCGCGGATCACAATGTCTGTCATGCGCACAATAGGTTACAGGTTATGTGTAAATAGAAACGGAATTGGGTTTTTTTTTGCGTTCCGGTCACCGAGATGAATTTATCGTCTCGACGTTTCGGATGACTGCCCTTGGTCAGAACACGCACGCACGCGCTTACACGCGTATTGCTACATGCATCGGGTGGGCATTGTATTTGCTAATTGGAGGGCCCTGCGAGCAAGCCATTGTGAGTTGATCCGCCTCGTTTCACAGTTTTAACTTTGAGCTCAATCACTTTCCACCCACGAGAGTCGTACATGTTACTAAGGGAGACCCGGACGAGAGCGTGCGTGTGTATTATTGTGTGTGAGTGCGCGCTTGTGTGTGTGCTCGCTAACAGCACTTTCCCCCACAGGCTATACGGGGGATCTTTGTCTTTGTGTGCGTGTTGAGCGGTAGTGTGGTGGTTAGCGCTCTGCGCTACGAACCGGGCGAAACAGATTCGATTGCCGTTCATGGCCACCACCAGTGACGAATTTGTGAATCAGTCCTAGGCCTCCCCTAGGTCGACTCAGCCTCAAACGAGTACCTGGTGCGATGTGTAAACATCGCCACTGGGGAGACAAAGGCGGCCGGGCGTGGTTGCTGCCCACCCCCCACCCTCTCGTGTGCCGTGCTGACCTTCATAGGCGCTACTCGCTAACAGCACTTGCCCCAACAGTCTGTCGAGGCTATACGGGGGGATCTTTGTCTTTTGTTTTGTGTGTGCAGGGGCAATTGGGCGTCCTCACAATTGAAACTGGTTGATGCCAATTGATTTTGTGAATTGAGCCCCGGGATCAAATTAGGCGGCATTCATGCACGTAATAATTAGAATTTAAAAACATTTTCCACTGCTGGAGGAATCCTCCCTTATGCCGTTTGGGGTCTTCCGGGGTGGGGGGGGGTTAACCATATTTCACCACACTGGTCAGTTTGGGTTGGTTCTAAAACAAAATGTGGAAGGGAATGGCCGGTTACCGATTGAAATATCAAGTAAAATGCTACCCGTGGTTCGGAATCGAACGTAGGATGGCGGCTGCGTTAATTGCGCGCGCAGCACGCTAAATCGCCACTCACTCTTCACCCAAAATTCCGTGCTGTGCACAAAACGCATGTCACGATGCGCATCGCGCGATGGAACAAAACGTGGCGCGGTTAAGGCGCACGCCTTACAGCTGCCTAAGTGTGGACACTAAAACACAGTGGCTCAAGCAACCTTCAAAAGGCGACGTCGTAATTCCGAGATAGAAAACAAATGGGCTTAATGTAAGTTTTTCGTTTCGAGAGGCAAAATCACTGATGCGGGGGAGGGAGGGAGGGAAGGGAGGTGGCGATGATGGTGGGGTTGTTTCGCAGTGACGAGAGCTCTGCGCTACGAGCCCGGCATCCGAGTTCAATTCACGGATCCGACGGCTTGACATGAGCGGCGAGTTATATTCGAACCGGTCCACTGACAGCAAACTCACCAGCCCGCCCATTTCCACCACCTTCGCCGGCTCGTCGTGGCTCTCCTCGTGAAGTATGCCCAAATAACCCCCGTGACAGACACGGCGTGGGGGAGCCATCATTTATCGGTGGATTGACAACGCGATGTGAATTAACCATTGCATTGTTGGAGTGAACAGTTCGGACTGCGATGTGCAGGGAGGGAAGGGAGAGTTACGCGCGGTGGCTTGGTCTGCCTGCTCGGGTTTGACGTATCAACAGCTACCAGCAGCACAGTCTGGCCGCTTAGCAGAATTTGCTACAGAATGACAAGTGCAGGGCGATATTACTTTGCCCTCTTACGAATTGCGTTTCTTGTGCCTTCTATTCGCCTGGTTACTGCTGGACAAGACCTCCACATCTGGCAAAAGAAGAGTGACCGTCGGTTTCACTTCACGTTGCTCTTCGCTGTTGCGCTTCTGCTTTATACCCAGCAGCTATGCAGAGTACAATTATACCGTAAGCATATACAGGCTTCGACTGTGATATAAGCATTGTTTGCGGAGGCAATTGTATTAAACATGTATGCGTGGGTGGTAAAAGTGGACGGTACTGCGTGCAACTGCTGGATGATGGCCCTCCCTTACGCTATGTCAGTCGTACTGTTGGTCATGGGGGTTGTTTGGTTTGACCATACTTCCCCACTTTGGCCAGTAGTGCGGATTGGTGAGGGTGGGGGGAAGAGGGGTGGGGGGTGTATTAGGACTCCGAGCGAGGACGGCTTCTGATATCACCTGCCACTGTGGACGACACTACAGTAACGCACTGCAGTATATAAAAAAAAACATACTGCCACGCATTGCGATAATCTAGCAAAGGACAACCATTCAGATTTGCTCGTCGAGAATGTTGATTGGGATACGAAAAGAAAACCCCAAAGGGATTGACGGAGTAATGATAATAATTCGCCAGGAACAGAAAAGTGCAATCAATGCCAATGAAGCGTCCCACTGCTGCGTGGATTTCGAGACAAATTGGCCGCACAAAGTCGTGCTATGATAACGCTAGTGCCTGCACAGGCCATTGACATGCAGTGCCACGTCTGTATACAATATATATATATAACCCCTTGCCAATCCACTGCTGGATGACAGCCTCACCACACCAAAAAAAGACAATGCATATATTATCAGAGTTTTTTTGTATTCTGACCACAAGTATATTGGCTAATGCAGACATGATTCCTTGTAAAAAGGTTTCAGTTTGGTGTTTTAACATCTCAACACCTGTTTTGTTGGCAGAAAAAAAGGGGGAAACCCTATTATCATATTTCGGGACTGGCGAAGGAGGTCCCACGGTAACGTGACATTTGTCGAGTGCCCAGAGTGTCGAGACTTGCTTCGGTCGGAGGGGGTGGATGGGGGTTTATCTTGTAGTGTTGATGCACCACGTGTGGCAGACTATTTGTTGAGCTTGTTTGCTAATTGTTGGAGCCACATGCAGCCTTGCCCAGACGTGATGTAACAGCCCAGCATTTCAAGCAGTTTTACAACGTCTCCGGCTTAACCGACCAAACAAGCACGAGCAGGGAATACAAAAAAAGCTACACGGGGACTGCCGGTGTCGTCTAGAAGACATTTGTAATCGCGCTCATCACGCAAGAGTTAAGACGCGACAATGCTAGCTTGAGTGGTTCTCTCCCATTAGCCATTCGGCATGCCATGTCAACAGCCTCAGTAAATTCAAGTCCATTCCACTGATGGGTTGTTCATGCCGCGTGTCAATTCTGGACAAACCGGTCCTGAGAACGCGTCAACACGTCAGCCGTGGCCAAGTAAAGCTCAAAATAGGACCATTATTGTCGTCTTGTAATCAGTCGTAGAGTGCTACTTTCTTATACACATTCACTCTGATTTTCTTTCCTCAAGCGTGTGTTTTTTTTACGAGCATACATTTTACTGTCCGGGATATTGAAAATGCGGGGATGAATTCGTCTTTTTAATGATTTCACGTGGCATTACGAATGTGCTCATGGTGTGCAACGTATCAGAACGGTGCTGTCTTATCTCGAACAAGCGACGGTAAGAGTTGCTTGATTAGGGAATGGCTACATCTACAAAGTGTATTTACACGTGACCTCTCTCTGGTAGAGAGGCCACTTGCAGAACAAACCAGCAGGGGCTTTCAAAGCATGTTGAAACCCAAGGCAAAATCCTCCGTCCTGCATTGCTTCAGTCCAGGCGGTGTTTAAATTCGGAGACTCCTGCCCATTTCATTTCAGAGGCATGGCTGATGAGATCCTCGGTGCAAACAATATTGAGGCTGCCACTCGTGATTCAAACCAGTTTCTCAAGTGGCGCTGAGTTGACGATCTCAGCCTCGGTCACTAATTATTGCATTCAAGAAAAAAAAACCAGCTTTATTTTGTCTTCGTTAATCTGCGATACCACTGGTGCAGTGTAATATAGCTG